ACACACACACACACACACACACATACACCTAGTGAGCATTTCATCCTGAGACTGAGGTGTTCTGGTCAGTTTGTGATCCGCATCATTTACTGAAATCAAGCTGCTTCCACACCCTCCAAAAATATCGCAGTGGATAGAAAAACTTGAATCTATGTATAGAATGGAATATATGACACTCCAACTGAAACTGAAACTGGACATTTTTATACATAGGTGGACACCTGTTACTATGTATTTGGACACATTGAAAATGAACAGATCAGTAAGGAACCTTGATTTATTCCGTTGTATTATTTGACAATGTTGTATGCGTTTTCTTTCTCCTCTTCTTATTTATTTGTATCTTTTTTTTCTTTAAGTCACAGCTGCTGTCAAGGAATGTTTAGTTCATTGTTTGTAATTTGCTTTAATGTATACACATTTTATTTGTGGATTTAAGATTAATAGATGGTCTGTAAACCACAACGTAAAACATAATAGATGGAGCTGTAAACATTCTAAAAATATTTTAGAGGTCCTTATATGTACGTTTTTATAATCCATTTGAAAAAATATATTACATATCACGCAGTACATCTGTTATTATAATTTACAAGTGTCATGCTTGTTATTTTATTCATGTAAGCTATAGCTTCTGACCTTTAAATCAAAACAGACTCGTGATTTTATGACATCGATATAGTTTCTTTTATTCAGAAACAGAAGTATCTTAATGTTATTTGTGTATTTTACTTTCATTTTATTACAAGTAGGCCAACAGCGCCCTCTAAGTAAATAAACCTTATCAGCAAGGCATATTGGCATATTGTTTTTCAAATGTTCACATTTTAAGCCTTTATCGGCCGATTCCGATAACGTTACGATAATATCATGCATCCCTAGTAAAATATTTCAGAATGAATGCTTTTATTCATCAAGGATGCATAAAGTTGATCAAAAGTAACAGTAAAGACATTTATAATGTCTAAAACAATGGAAAAACCCTTAAGATAACATGTAGAAAGAAAAAAACGTATCTTAAGCATGCAGAATAACATAAGTGGACTCTGAACGATTAATTGCCGCTTTGAACGATTACGTAATTGTGGCATCCGTAATTGTAATCGCGATTAGAAATTCGATTAATTTTGCAGCCCTAGCCTGAGGCGTATTGTTAAAAACAAACAAGCAAGCCCTGTCCAGATTTAAAAAGTAACGCAAAAGTAACGTAACGCATTACTTTCCATAAAAAGTAACTAAGTAACGTAATTTTATGGAGTATCGCAATATTGTAATGCATTACTTTAAAAAGTAACTTTCCCCAACTCTGACTATTAGAGACTGTTTTGTGTGTGGTACCGTCACAGCCGGGGCAGCACTGGTCGGCTCGGAGCACAGGGTGGACACAGGTGGGCACAGGGCAGGTGATCAGCACACACATCTCTCGGCCGGCGTGACAGAAACAGTCTCGGCAGCCGTCGTGCCATCCGTCTCCCTCCTCGAAACGCCGGCCGCTCGCCATCAGACAGAAGCTGGAGGAGACGGTGACGGAGGCGCTGTGTCTGTCTGCGTCTGAACACCACACAACATCAACATGATCACAACAATCAAAAGATTTACAAAAGAAGACCATGACAGTAAACATCGTAAAAACTACAGCGAAACTACAAAACTGCTCAGCCGATTATGTGTAGACCTCACAAAAAACGTCCAGCTCACAATCCAAACAAAAGAAAAAATAATATACTTTGCATAAATAAAATACTGTAATGCAATCAGTGATATTTCAGTGTCATTGATATACTACTGTAGTTTTTATTAATATTGAGTTTTTAATTTTATTTAACGTTTTAGTAATTTTGTTGTGTGTTTGTCATTTTTACTACTTTTTGTTTTTTGAATAGGTCTATATAGTTTTTATTATTATTATGGTTTTTAATAATATTTTGAGTTTTCGTTTTCATTTTAATTATAGTTAACGTTTTGTAATTTTGTTGTACGTTTTTATCATTTTTATAAATTTTTTTAATATGTCTGTTTAGATTTGTATTAATTTTGATTTTGGTTTTTATTAATATTTTTTAGTTTGATATTTTCATTTTCAATTTAATTTTAGTTAACGTTTTAGAAATGTTGATTTTTGTGTTGTGTGTTTTTGTCACTTCAATTAGTTTTTGTGTGTCTAAATAGTTTGATACGTTTTTGTAGCACTTTAACTTAAAGTAAACGAAAATGCTAAATGTTGCTTTTTTATATATACTTTTTTTATTTCAGTTAATGTAAAATTTTATTTCAAGTAACATAAATGTTTTTACTTGAGCCTGCATACACTGATTTTTAAAATGTAAATCAGCATAAATGAAAGTCAGTAACAACTATAACTCAATGTATAAATACTTTACTATTTAAATGTCATTATGATAAGATCAGTCTAAAATGATGAGTATTAGTGTAATATGAATATAATATCCTATTATAATTCCTGATTCCTGTCTCCATCTGAAATAACATCCTCTAAACGTCCGATATTTTGCCAATAATGAGTTTATAATTATGCTGTGGATAAACTGAACCAGTTAACCCTTGTGCGACCTTTTGGACATTTTTGTTTTTTTGGGGAGTTTTGCTGGCATCTAGTGGGGAAAATTTGGTACTGCGCCCACACAAAATCTTACTCAAAGCTCATTTTTTGAGATATCAACCTCAAATTTGGAACACAACTTGTTTAGATTTATGGCTTTGATTTTCTAGCAGGTATAGAGTTCAACAGGTTTCATAAAATATATATTTTATATCAAATATCATTCACAAATCATTTTCATAAACTTAAACCTCTAGAACTTTTTTTTTGTTTAAAAAAAAAAGAGTTCAAAAAGTGAGGAACAAATCAGGATTTATTAAGCAGAAAGACATGTAAAAGATAGTTAGAGTACGCCAACTAAAACACTGATTATGCAAATGTAAAGAAAAATAGGGAATCACAAGATGCATTAATAATACAATCCAACTGCTTTGTGATAATTCCATTCATAATTCATTCAATACATATTAAAATTAATATAATATATTTATTTGAATAGATTAATATTCATTATAATATAGAAGTGTCAATGTTGTTTTAGTAGTAACTATTATAGTTTATAGTTTAATATTTTGTATTAGGTTTTTATTTCAATATTTTCTGTTTTCTTTTTGATTTTAGTTAGTTTTAGTTATTTTTAAAACATTTTAAATTTAATTTCATTTTAGAACATAGTTAAACAAAATGAAAAACCTAAAATAAAGTTTTTTTTTATTTCAGTTAAAGTTTATTTCAAGCAAAGAAAATGTGTTTTTATGGCTTTATTTTTAATTGTCATTATGATATACGTGTTGTTTCAGTATCATTGATATACTATTATAGTATACTACTAATACTACTAGTTACTATTAATATTTTGATATTATTTTTATTATATTTTGCTTTAATTTTAGTTTAAGTTTTAAAAATTTTTGTGAATTTCATGTATTTTAAATGTTATTAGTTTAGTTATTTTAGTACATCAAGTTAAACTAAACAGCGGAAATACAATTATTTTACGTTTTTAAATTCATTTTATGCCAGTTATTTATATTTATATTCAGTTATTTTATTTTATTTTTTAATTTTAAGTAATGAAAATTTATTTTTTGTAGCAATAGCCAACAATACATTGTATGGGTCAAAATTATCAATTTCTCTTTTATGCCAAAAATCATTAGGATATTAAGTAAAGATCATGTTCCATGAAGATATTTTGTAAGTTTCCTACCGTAAATATATCAAAACTTAATTTTTGATTAGTAATATGCATTGCTAAGAACTTCATTTGAACAACTTTAAAGATGATTTTCTCAATATTTAGATTTTTTTGCACCCTCAGATTCCAGATTTTCAAATAGTTGTATCTCAGCCAAATATTGTGCTATTCTAACAAACCATACATCAATGGAAAGCTTATTTATTCAGCTTCAGATGATGCATACATCTCAATTTCGCAAAAATTGACCCTTATGACCGGTTTTGTGCTCCAGGGTCACATATTAAATGTTGGGCATAAACCAGACTCACTATGCATATTTGTTCCAAGAGCACACTTGAATATCCTTGCGGTTTTCCACGTTTAAACATTTCTAAATTGCTTGTAGGAACATTCTGTACAGTGAGGCCTCAGATGAAATCTCATGACCTCAAACCGTGAATCTCCTCGTGTGTCTGCGCAGTCACTCACCTTCACACTCGCAGACGCTGCAGCCCTTCCTGCTCTTTCTGAAGCCGCCGCCGCAGTGTTTGTCGCAGGTGAACGGCGGACAGCGGACGCAGCGGCACATCTCACAGCCGTGCTTGTTCCTCCTGTGAGGAGAAACAACACATAAACAACCAGCTCAACCAGCACTAACCAGCATAAACCTGCTGGTTAAGCTACAAAAGCACAGCTCTTGATTCCTGCTTAACGCTCTGACGCACTTCAACTTCTGAAGACGGATGAAAGCACGTCTCACGATACCTCGTAATAATGCAGGACACTTTTATGCTTATAACGTTGTGATTAATTAAAGTTTCTGGTTGTTGGGAGCTGCTGCTGGAGGCGCGATACACCGGCTCCAGATGCTCAAACCGGTCTAACGGCCATCTGGTTCTGTTTTCCTCTGCAGAACATGAGCTTCAAGAGTCCAGATAAAAGCAGCACCAGAAACATGTCAGTATATAGTATTAAATAATAATATTTAATACTATATAATAATAATAAATAAATGATAACTAAATATAATATTAATTATTATTACATTGTTATTATTATTAAAAACTGTTATATTTAATATTACATTTAGGGTGAAAAAATTACTTGGTTTATTTTTGCTTTAATGACAAGAAAATAGCTCAAAATAATATATTTTATATTTGTTATATTACAAAAATTATATCTATATATAATGAATTTTTCATTTTTATTTATTTATTTAATTTACATTTTTTTATACATTTTTGACGTATTTCTATTTTTATTATTTAATTTTATTATTATTTAATTTTGATTATTATTAGTAGTGCACCACCAGTAAAGTTCCTTAACTAGAGTCAGTGGCCAGCATAATGCTGATTATATTTAATATTAAAATTACGCAACATATATATATATTATATATATTTGTTTGTGTATATATATATATATCTTTTAATTTTATTACACAAACATCATGTCTTTACATAATAAAAATATATTTCAATTTTTATTATAAGCATTATTTATAAGTATTTTATTTATTGATTTATTATTAAACAGTGCAAAATTCACACACAAAAAAATGTAAACAATTATGTATTATTCCATTGGATGCTGCACACTGGTGGTGGTTGAGGAGAGACCCCCCACATGATTGTAAAGCGCTTTGGGTGTACAGCAATACACAATAAAGCACTATATAAATGCATCATTCATTCATTCATATTCATTCACAGGAAGAGAGAGGAAACAACTATTTCTGTTAATTGGTCAGGAAGGCACAATTAACAGCTCATGCTGATAATATTAATTGATATACTGTCTATAATTAGCTTACAGAAGACTCTGAAATCATAATTTGGGACACATTTACTTTACTTAAACAATAAAATACCATCATGTTTCACACACCTGCACCAGCCAATCAAATCACAGTGGACAAAACCAAGACCCGCCTACATTAATCCAGATTCAGTCACAATGTGAAAGCCAAATCTGAGCTGATGGCTGAAAGGCTGAAGGTTCAAACTGCACGAGTTGATTTAAGAAAAATCACTATTAGGGCTGCTGATGAATCAAAGTATTAGATGAAATATTAATGAATGAGTAATAACAGAGTCGTCGTCATAGATCGCGGATGAAAGCTCATTAACGAAACAGCCAGAGGTCACTATACTGTCCTTCTGTGTGTCTGTTGTTCATGAATTAAACACATCCCCTCGACGGGCAGCAGTACAGTAGTGGTTCACTGCTGAGACAGCATGCAGCCAGGACGACTGCTGACTCCACACATATTCCTTTACGTTCTGTCAAATCCAATGACATCTGAGCCCCACTGAGAAGGGGAAGCAATTTAAGACCCCCTTTGTGTGGAGTCTGACCCATTCGACTGTGTAAAATGTCAATGTAAACAGCCACTCGTCCTCTGTCTTCATCATTCGATGCTTCAGAGCCACGGCTCACATATTCCAAAAACACAATGTTAATGCTGGCACCATGATGAAATTATGGCTGGCAATTCACTGTCACACAAAAATTATGATTACCAACTTAGCAGTGTTTGTTCATGACAATATAAAGCCTAGAAAACATACACCCAAGTCATTTATTAACACTGAACCAGGGTTAGTATAGTTAACTAAAACTAAAACCATAAAAAAAACTCTTTACTTTAAATAAAATAATCTTTAAATGAGATAAAATAGGTTATAAAAACTTTATTTTATTCCAGATAGTTCGAATATGTGTCACACTTTTTAGACAGAATTCAAACAGAAGATAGCACTGCAAATAACCCTGGGTTAATAATATTTTAATCACTTTTCTGACCCTAGGTTACACAACATTTCACACTTGTATTTAGTCAGAGGATAGTACTGTAATTTGACCCTAGATTATCATTATTGTAATTACTTCTAACTCTGGGCTAAACAATGTTTCACATTTGTATTTAGAGGTTAGCACTGCATTTAACCCTGGGTTAACATTATTTTAACCATGTGATGAGGTCTATTTTAACCTTGGGTCAACACTATTTTAACCCTGTGATAACATCACTTTTAACCCTGGGTTAGCATTATTTTAACCCCATGATGGGGTCACATTTAATCCTAGGTTAACATTATTTTGACTCTGCGATGTGGTCACATTTAACCTTGGGTTAACATTATTTTGACCCTGTGATGAAGTCAATTTTAACTCTGGGTTAACATTATTTTAACCCTGTGATGAGATCACATTTAACCCTGGGTTAACATTATTTTAACCCCATGATGGGGTCACATTTAATCCTAGGTTAACATTATTTTGACTCTGCGATGTGGTCACATTTAACCTTGGGTTAACATTATTTTGACCCTGTGATGAAGTCAATTTTAACTCTGGGTTAACATTATTTTAACCCTGTGATGAGATCACATTTAACCCTGGGTTAACATTATTTTAACCCTTCGATAAGGCTGCTGATGTCACTTTTAACCCTGGGCTAACATTAGTTTAACACTGTGATGAGGCCATTTTTAACCCTGGGTTAACACTATTTTACCCACCAGTTGCCAAGGCAACATTTCTTATTTTCATTCAGTTTAACTTGCTCTGCTAAAATAACTAAAACAAAAACTAAAATAAAAATCTTTTACACGTTCACTCTAAAATTCCCTCATTTTGATGGTAATTTGTAATTTGACTTAAAGTGCATAATGTGGTTATCTTAAATAATCACTATTATAATCATGTCAGGCCTAATTTGGACAAAATTAAGAACCCCTTTAATTATAAACACATTATCTCTAAGGGCTTTCTGAACTTAATGGGTTTGTTTCAACCAGCTCCAGATATTTTAGAAACAGAAGAGGGTCATCTTCATTTAAATGCTCATGATCTTTGGGTTTGTTTCCAGATCTTTGTTGTATCTGCTTATCTTACTAGCAATAAACACTAGAAACAAACACGCTCCGAGCAGAAGATGATCTCAACATGAGCCACTATAAACAGGGATTTCCTCCAGAGCGAGATGGAGAGACAGGGCTCAGAGGACTCAAACTTCTTCTGAAATGATTCAGGAAACCCTCCATCCCCCCTGAGGGAGTTCAGACACCGGGTTTCCAGTGAAAATCTATCTGCTCCATCCTCCACTGGGGGCTTGTGGTTCAGATACCAGCAGAATCACACCTCACGCTCACATACAGACGCTTTTGTGTCGATGTGCATTTGATCGTTGTGTTGAAAGGGAGGGATGGTTTTGAGATGAAAGCACTGGCTCCTACGCTCTTATGAGGACAGCAAAGCACCCAGATGTTTGACCAGGGTCATGGATTACAGGGGGTCAGGCTGTTTAACACTAAGTAAACATTATATTAACCCTGTGATGAGATCATCTTTAACCTGGGGTTAAACTACATTTCACACTTGTATTTAGGCAGGACATCGCATTGCAATTAGGCTATTATTATTTTAATCACTTCTAACCCTGGCTTAAACAATTTTTCACAATTTTATTTAGAAAGAGGTTAGCACTGTTTAACCCTGGGTCAGCATTATTTTAACCCTATGCTCATGTTATTTTTAACACAGCCTTAATTAACAATATTTTAACCCTGTGCTGACTCCACGTTTAACCCTGGGCTAACACTGTTGTATCCATGTGATGAGGTCACTTTTAACCCTGGGTTAACATTATTTTAATTCTTTGATGAGGTCACTTTTAACCCTGGGTTAACATTATTTTAATCCTCTGATGAGGTCACTTTTAACCCAGGCTTAATATTATTTTAATCACGTGACGAAGTCACTTTTAACCCTGGGTTAACATTATTTTAATCCTCTGATGAGCTCACTTTTAATCCTGGGTTAATATTATTTTAACCATGTGATGAAGTCACTTTTAACCCTGGGTTAACATTATTTTAATCCTCCGATGAGGTCACTTTTAACCCTGGGTTAAAACAAGTTTAACCCTATGCTGATGTCACTTTTAACCCTGGATTAAACAATGTTTACCACTTGTATTTAGGCCAAGGTTAGCAGTGTGTTTAACCCAGATTTAACATTATTTTAACCCTGTGCTGATTAACATTAATTTAACCACATGATGAGGTCATTTTTAACCCTGGGTTGACATCACTTTTAACCCTGGATTAAACAATGTCTACCACTTGCATTTAGGCAAAGGTTAACATTATTCTAACCCTGTGATGAAGTCACTTTTAACCCTGTGTTAAACAATATTTTACACTTATATTTAGATTATTTGGTCTTAGATAATGTTACTGGTCACGAGAGATGTTAACTTACATGTATCCATAAGGGCATGTCTTGCTGCAGGTCATGGGGCGACACTTTGGTGTGGCTACATTCACACATTCACACACTTCACAACCATAGCTGTCTTTCTCATAACCCATGGGACACTCCAGAGAGCAGTGCGTGGACACATCAGGACATGTTTCATCTGAAAACCACAAACATTTACATACGAAAGATGATCAGTGATCAGTCAAACTTAGGTCAAACTTATTTGTATTTCACACTTCTATTTAGACAGAGGTTAGCACTTTGTATAACCCTAGGTCAACGTAATTTTAAACCCAGGTCATCATTATTTTAACTCTGGCTTAACACTATTTTAACCCTGTGCTGAGGTCACTTTTAACCATGGGTCAACATTATTTTAACCCCATGATGACATCACTTTTAACCCGGGGTTAAACAACATCTCAAACTTGTATTTAGACAGAGGTTACCACTACATTTAACCCTGGCTTAACACTATTTTAACCCTGTGCTGAGGTCACTTTTAACTCTGGGTCAACATTATTTTAACCCTGATTCAACAGTATTTTAACCCTGTGCTGAGGTCAATTTTAACCCTGGGTTAAAGAACAACTCACATATGTATTTAGATAGAAGTTAGCACTACATTTAACTCTGGCTTAACACTATTTTAACCCTGTGCTGAGGTCACTTTTAACCATGGGTCAACATTATTTTAACCCCATGATGACATCACTTTTAACCCAGGGTAAAACAACACCTCAATCTTGTATTTAGACAGAGGTTAGCACTACATTTAGCACTACACTACTAGGTTAGCACTACATAACCCTGGCTTAACACTATTTTAGCCCTATGCTGATGTTATTTTTAACCCTGGGCTAACACTATTTTAACCCAATGATTAGGTTAATTTTAACCCTGGGTTAACATTATTTTAACCCTGTCATAAGAGAAACACAGAAATTCAGCTAATGTAAAAGCTGTTAAAAGTGTGTACTTCTGTTTCATGCATATAAATTCAAATCTAGTTATTTTTTGCAAAACTTTCGATGTTGCTAGTGTTTTCTAAAAACTACACATTATGATTTGGAGCGGATTACAGTCCCATGAGCTCCATGATGCCCAAACGTCCTACTGACCTCTGATACTGATTTCAATTCACATGGGAAAAACTTTCAGATTCATTTCAGTCATGGGGAGAATTGTGCAGATTTGTGAGGTGGATTTGAGTCTGAGATAATTATTTCTTGGACACGCTCCATATGTCCAGAGTCAATGTTTGCTTGTGTTACGGGCCGTTGGCACTTTCTCAAACATAGACTTGGGAGTATTTTGGCGCGGTCTGCACGCAACACAGTTCTCAAGGGTTTGTGTGTATGTGTGTGTGTTTGCACTCACTGCTGACACACTGGCATAGCAGACAGCCGCTGGGGTCTTGCTGGAAGCCAAATGGGCAGTCATGCCCAGAGAGAGAGCAGTTTTCCAACGGTGGGCAGAGCAGCGGCTCTAGAAGAGAAAGTTAGTTAGTTCCTGTTTTTTTCAGCAATATACATCTCTATCAGAAAGATGAAAAACAGGAAACATCTCAGATAGCTCAAATCTGCAGACTGAAGTGCATGAAAGATCTGCAGTTGGTTTATGGTTTACATAGCAAGTGTTTATGCTTACCATGGCTGCATTTATTTGATCAAAAATACAGTAGAAACAGTAATATTGTGAAAAATTATTACTTAAAATTATTATAATTTAAAATAGCTGTTTTCTATGGTAATATATTGTAAAATGTAATTTATTCCTGTGATGCAAATCTGAATTTTCAGCATCATTACTCCAGCCTTCCACATATTTTTGTGGAAACTGTGATACATTTTATTTTTCAGGATTCTTAAAATAGAATTATTAAAATTATTATTTTTTTAGAAAAATTGACATTCCCACATGGTTGAGTATTATATACATTATCTTTAATTGAACATTTAACAAAAATAACTCTTGATCTCCGCTAACAAAAATATGTTCTAAGAACATTTCACTAACATTCCCATTATGATATGAAAACATTATTTCTGAATATTCTCTGAACATACAAAACATAGTTTTTAAAACATTTTTTTCCTTTGTTATGCAAACATTAATGGAATGTTTAGCATTTTATCATTTTGCAAACATTATGGGAATGTTACTTTTGAATGTTCTAAAAAAAACATTCTGAAAAAAGTAGCAACATTAAGTAACTAAAAGGTTTCCATGAATGATGTATAAATAACATTTTGAGAACATTATTAAAGACTCAATAACTCTGAAAAAACATTCTATTAATGTTACTGGAAGAGTGTTTGTTCACTTTTAAATAACCTTTAAAACTTTAAAAGAACTTTTCCAGAAGGTTCCCTGTTAGCTGGGATATATATTCTTTCTGACACGTAAACAACTCATACTGGGAAATAATAATTTGGTCATACCACCCACTGCTGTTCACATTATCCAATAGCTCCTATATTTTAATTAAACAGACATTTTTCTTCAGAACAGCATGCACTGATTAGATTCACAAAAAGGGACATAAATTAAGGATTTAAAGAGATTGATTTCACATCGACTGTTTTACAGATGTGATGCAAACTCAGATGTTTCTGTTAAATGCATCCTCATGTGCTCAGCTGGTGCGTGTTGCAAGAAGTGCGTGTTGAAGTGAAACTTCAGAGTCATCTGTTGTTTGGCTCCGATCATGTGAGCCGCTCCTGGGGTTGTTTGCTCCAAGCGCATCCGTACAGTGCAGTTTAACTGCAAACAGAAGTGTCCGATTTGCATCGATTACACATAAACACAGCCACAATTACCGTGCAGCGATCCTCATAATCCGACAGCCGTGAAGAACAGGTTTTGTTTAAAGTTGCCTTACGAAGCAAAAGTAGCATCAACAAACTGCTTTTCTGATTTCTTCTGTCACCTCAAAATCATAGCAAAACAAGATGCATTTGTCGAGAGCAACACGCTGGGATGCCACATGTGCAAGCATCAATTGCAACCATGTTGGCACGTACGGAGCTAAAGAGGTGTGACTAATTATTCTTCCAGATAATAATAATGTATAATTAAGGACAGCAGGTGGCTTCCATTTGGCTGCTTGGAGCAGTAAAAGGTAAAGCTTCTGTAGTCCGCAGACGCCTGCTGCTTGACGCTGTTGAGCACACGTAAGTGGAACGCCAGTCTTAGCTTTAATAGGCTGTGTGTG